ACCCAAAACTGTGGTCAAGACCCCAGACCCAGAGGCCCAATCGGATGGAAGGGGCAGTGGGAACTCCTGTACTTTACAGCCCTGTAGCTTGAGTTCTATGAGCAACACCACATAAAGACATACGTACATCTGCCCCATTTCTGACTGTCCTGCCCTGGTCCTAGGGTGTTCGGGATGTTCCACCAAGCCAGCGACCGAGAGGCTGTGTATGCCTGCTTCACCTTCTCCCACTGGCTGGTGTACGCCAACAGCGCCGCCAACCCCATCATCTACAACTTCCTCAGTGGTGAGTGGGCGAGGGAGGTGGGCGACCGAGGGCAGCAGTAGTCTCCAGGACAACAGTCTCCCCACCCCCAATCCAGACCAAATAAAGGATGGCAGGGGGGACGTGACACCTACTCCTTCCTGGGAGTCATGACTCTGCTCTGGCAACTCCCACTCAGGGAGAAGACTTAACCCCACCCAGGAGCCCTGGTCTGCATGGGAGACTGGCCACGCTCCCAACCCTGGCCAAAGAAAGCTGACCAGCATCCAGGGTCCAGTTTGGCAGGTTATGCAGACCAGGGAGTGGGTGGGAAGGGCAGCAGCTAGGCTGGCTCATCTCCACCCCTGCCAGGGGAATGCACAGCAGGACCTCCAATCAGAATCAGCCTGTCTGGTCAGAGGGAACAGGCCTGTGGGAAGAGGGCCTGAGGGATGACTACATAATTGAGGCATCAGGGCTAAAGGAGGGTCACCAGCAGAGGCAGCCCAGGGCAGGGGGAGGGCTTCCCCATGCCCAGCCAGACACACTGGCAGAGGGGCCAGAATCTGGGGATCTATCCCTAGATCCACCCTCCTCCAGCACCAGGCCTCCTCTCCCCATTCTGGAAATCCAGGCCTCCCTGTCCCCCACCCCAACTGGGACTTTCTCTCAGCTGTCCCATGCTCCCCATGCCCTCCCTCTACCTCTGTTTCTGGGTGGTCATGCCCAACCCCCAGCCCAGCCCAGCAACAGTGTGAATAACCAGACTTTTGATTCAAGGCCTAAAGAACTGGTCCAGATGACTCTTCAAGCCTGGACACAAATAATCTTCAAGAAAAGGTTGAAAGGGACCAGGGGTCAATGTTACAACCTCAGTGAGACTGAGGCTGGTCAGGTGGTCTCCAGCTCAGAGAGCAGAAGAGATGAGCGCTGCAGCAGAGGGCATGGTGCATTCCTGTTTGGCCTACATTTACTGAGCACCTACTGTGTGCTTGGCCCTCTGCTGGGCGCTGGAGAGGCCGGTGGGATGCTGAAACATGATCAAGGAGGTTTCAGTTCCAGGTAAAATCTGTTTCCCTGGTGTCCTTTGGCTGAACAAGATGGCTGTGGTAGTCCCTCCTTCCCCACTTGCTTCCCACTTAAGCAAAGGGCTTTAGCGTTAGAACCATGGCTAACTTCTAGCTGGTGACCTTGGACAAGCCTCTGTGTGTCTCATCTGTGAAGTGAGGATACAGACCCCAGTCTCTCAGGGTGCACCCGGCACAGTGCCTGGTGTGAGGGCTGCTGCTGCTGTCATTCTCATTACCATGGGACAGAGGTGGGGAAAGCCTAGCTGAGCCTGAAGTCCCTCCGCCTACACACCCAGGAGGGCAGAGATGAGCTGAGGCCCCTGAGCCAGACACCATGATTACAGGTTTAGAGCTGGGCTCAGAGCCAGAGCGCAGTCAAGGAATCAGATAAAAACTGCATTTCTCCCTGGGAACCTGCTCCGGGGCCTCCTCTGCTCTCTCCCCCTAGCAGTGATGAGGTGGCTCTGGGGCTCTCTCCATCCCAGCTCCACCTTCCCTCCCACCCCTCACAGGCAGCTTGGCTTGAGCTGCGTGGGTGTCCCTGGGCCCAAGGCCCCTTCCTGCTGCATACATCTCCTTATAGCTGTGTCTTCTGTCTCCCAACCAAGGCAAATTCCGGGAGCAGTTTAAAGCTGCCTTCTCCTGCTGCCTGCCTGGCCTGGGTCCCTGCAGCTCTCTGAAGGTCCCCAGTCCCCGCTCCTCTGCCAGGCACAAGTCCTTGTCCTTGCAGAGCGGATGTTCCGTCTCCAAAGTCTCCGAGCACGTGGTGCTCACGAGCGTCACCACGGTGCTGCCCTGAGTAAGTGCTACCCTGGTGGCTCCAGGGGGTGCAACCTGTTCCCTGCTCCTCTGGCTCCTGGGGGACCAGCCCTGACTCCTTGTGGAAAGACTGCTGGATGCCGTGAGAGGCCAGGGCTCCAGTCCTGGTTTTCTACCTGTTTGACTCTGGGCAACTAACATCCCTTCTCTGAGCTGTGTCCCCTAAACAGGATTGATGTGAGGATTAAGCATGCTTGAGAAAGTGGAAAGCCCTTTGTAAATTGTAAAGTGTTGTGGACAAGATTATCACTGTATCCCTCTCACTTGACTATACCTCACAGTACCATCTAGCCCCATCATCCGTCCACAGCTTGGCTGCCTTTCCAAAGACCCCTCTCCTACCCGATTACAGGCCTTCCCTAGTCTGCTGGAAGGGCCCCAGCACCTCCATCTAGCCCAGTGACTCCCTAAAGCCCAGGCTGCACTCGGCCAGCGCGCTCTGCTGCCTGCATGAACTAATCAGGGCCCAGCCCTTCCCCTGTGGGAACACAGCCCCCCACCCTTACCAGGTGCCGAGTGCACACACCACAGACTATCCTTTCGGCTTTGTGGTGTGATAAACATTCTCCATGTGACCATTTGGCGTGGAGGCCAGCAGCCCAAAGCAATTGTAATTAAAAGTCTGGCACTGAATGTTCCCTTTCCTTATCATTGCACAAAATCTGTGCTGCTTAGGTTAAAAGCGAGGAAGGTGGGGAAGTGGGGAGCTGGAGGGTGGGGGAGATGACAAGGCGGCACTGGAATGCTATTATCTGCCGACTACTCCCACCTCCCATCCCCCAACACACCAGATCCCAGATGAGCTCCTTGCCAGGCCTCAGAGCATCCTCAGGCAGTGCCGAATCTCTGATGCCCAGGGCCTCAATCCTCGACACATCTGTCTGCTCATGGGCCCAGTGGACTATGGAACGTAAGGGGGGTAGGGTGGGCAGACAGCAGAGTTAACAGGCTTACTATTATCTTCACCTTTTTGGATATCGGAGTTTGGATTTACTCACTATGAACTCACAGGATAAAAAGAGAAATCCACAGACTTGGCTAGAGTGCTCTGCCTGCCACCGAGATGATTAGAGGGTTGCCAGAGGCCCTGATCCTTGCTGCCAGAGCAGGAGGTGGAGCACAGTCTGAAGCACCGCTCTGCTGAGGAGTGGGAGACATCTGACAGAGGCCAGCCTGGCTGGCAGGCCGGCCAGGCACACCCCCGGATCAGCTTAACCTGATTAACGAAGCTGCAGGCCCCCTCTGACCTTACACATCAGGAAGTGGGGCCCAGCCCAGGAATGTTTAAGCACCCCTCCTCTTAGGCACCACCAGGGCAGGTGGAAGGCGCGGTATGTCACCCTAATCTCTAGATGACTCACCAGCCCTGCTATCGTGGACACGTCCACAGACGTGCAGTTGTGGCAGCTAGGCTGTGCGATCCTGCCCACTTTGCTTTCCTGTTGGGCTTAGGATCCAGAGTTTGTCAAGTTTGTAGCCAGGTTTGGAGGTGCAATGTGCAGAATGAGGTGTAAGGGCTGGCCCCAAGCTCAGAACCAACTATGCCCAGAAGGACCAACTAGGTCCTGGGCTCCTCAGCCCTAGCTGAGCGCAATGCTGACTACGGTTGGCATTTTTCTAAAGACAGATTTCAGTAGATACTTGGCTCAGTGGGAACAAAGAAACAATAGAAGCTTCCCCCTACTCTCTGCTGGTTGAACTCAGGGCCACAGTGAGCCTGAGGTCACTTGGGGAACTCAGATGACAGGAGAAAATTCAGGGGAGGTAAGCAGGATGACAAGGGGAGATATGCTCAGTGAAGAGTTGCTAAAGAGTCCAGGACTTTGGGAAAATGTGGTGGCAGATTCCAGGTATCTAGAGGGTTGGCATGCACTGAGTTGACACACAGTGGGGCCATGGAGGGGACTCTAGTTCTGGATGGCAGCTGGCCTCTGGGAATTGACTCCATCTAATTCTATGACTCTAGTCTACAGAGAATGGGACTGAACTGCTGAGTCCAATGTACCGGCTGGGCCTCACTGAGCTGCCAAACAGCCAGTCTCCTTTCCCAACCATCCATTGCAGGGAGGGGAGCCCTGCTTAGGGCCTAGAGTTTTTTGGTGTTTTTTAAAAATATATCTTTATTGATTTCAGGAGAGGAAGGGAGAGAAAGAGAGAGAAACATCAATGATAAGAGTCATTGATCAGCCGCCTCCTGCATGCCCCCTACTGGGGATGGAGCCCACAACCCAGGCATATGCTCTGACAGGGAATGGAACTGGGATCTCCTGGATCCTAGGTCGATGCTCAACTGCTGAGCCACATCTGGCCGGGTGGGCCTGGAGTTATCTTCACTTCCTAAAGCAAAAGGATTCTCACAGCATTACCCATGATAAGGTTCCCCAGGCAAACCAGAATGTCTGGTGTGTGGCCTTGGATTAAAATTTTGTCAGCTCACTGTAGACATTCAGTGTGGACTGGTTATCATGCTGAAGATCCAGCAGACAAGTACAGATGTCTGTGCTTAATAAAACTGGGGAGAAAGTTATGACTTAATAAATGCAGTTTGTCTGAAAGATAAAACTAGAGCTTGAGATAATAAAAGGCCAGGCTATAAGAAGTTTGGAGTGGCTGCTTCCAGCCTAGAGTGCCAGCCCTAAAACTGTTTAAAACCACAGTCTGCTTCTTGAGCTGACCCCAGGCCCCTACCCTTCAACTTCACCCTGGTAAATGTCAGCAGCCTCATGTAGACTATGTCCCCTCAGCTGCTTCTTTCTGCACGGTGTAGTATGCAGTATGCACTTACATCTTTGTTGGATGAAAGGATAAATGAGTGACTGAATGGATGAGCATGTAAACCTGTAGCCGGGAAGGCATGGTGGAAAATATGGAACAGAGTTTTATCCTTTTATTGAAATTTACGGCTTCACTGAACTTTTGGCCCCAAATGAAAATAACAACAAAAAAGGACATTGGCAGTGGAGGTGGCAATTGTCCCCTGGGGACTGAAGCCAAGCAGAGAGTGGTGGGCAAATGAGGGGTCCAAGCTGCAGAGTGCAGTAGCCTGGCCCGAGATGCCCAGAGAGCAGACTGTCCAAGCTCCTTGAGCAGGGACAGCCCCCAGGCAGCTAGAAGTTAACACGCAGGAACTCTGGGCATGGGGGCGGTGGAATCCAAGCCACTGGTCCCTTGGGCATAGCTCTTTCATGCTTAGTCAGATTCCACTTTGGAGAAACTGGCTTCATCTGACAGGTCAGCATGGGTGAAGGGACACAGGTGCTCATAGTAAGAGGCCTATGAACACTTACCACTAGCATTGGGGCAGAGGAGGGAAAGCTAGAGGCTGGAGCCCAGCCGACTGGACACAAACTCCATTACAATGACGCATCTCCTGCTCCTGCTGCAAGGCTGTGCCACTTAAATGCTCAGGGCTGTAAGGATATTTAAATTCCAGTCCTCTCCTGTGTGGCCTTGACCCAGGACCCCACTATTTGGTGGCTATGACACAGGACTCCTAGCCCTCTTGGGGAACAGGGCTGCATCAGGATGGACAGGAAAAGAAGAGCGGCCCACACACTTCTCCCACTCCAAAGAGCAAGGAAAGGTCGCCTGGTACACACCACTCTCTACAGAAGGGCTGGGTCAGAGCATCCGAGAGGCTGTCATGGTGACGAAGTCCTCGAAGCTGAGCCGAACGCTGCCCTGCATTGCCGTGTCCTTCTCCCGGAAGGCCTCGGTCAGCGCCTGCAGCTGGGTGCACACCTGGATGAAGCGGTCTAGCTGCATGCCGGGACTGGCGGAGCGCGGGCAGTAGCGCGACACCAGGAGCTGGGTGAACTGGGGGCTCAGGTTGTAGCCCATTTGGGACAGAGCTGGAGAAGAGGGGCACACAGAGCAGACACAAAAACCCACTGTGAGCACGGCCATTGACCAGTTCCAGAGCACAGCACTTCGAGATCAGCAATGAAGCAGAAAGAGGACAGAAGGCCCGAGGGTCTGTTGAAGATGGCAGCAGCACAACAGGGGCTCTGTCTGAACGCTCCCCTTAGCTGGAAGGCCTCATCCCTCTTTCTCCAAACCTCCATTGCTATCTGTTCAGCAGGGCCTCCTGGGGCCCCAGAATGACACCAGGCTACCCATGCTCATCTCTGACTCGTCTGCATTACAGAAGGAAGCCTGGGCTCCATAGGACCACCCTGACCAGTGCAGACATCAGTGGCAGCATAGCACAGGGGTCCCAAGGGCCTGCTCTGGAGTCAAAACAGCCCCTCAGCCAGTTACTTAACCCTGCTAATCCTCTGACTTCCTGTCTCTAAATGGGAACAACACCTACCTGGTCAGTTTCAGCAGGATGAAAGCGGACTGTGTAAAGCACCTGGCACAGTGCCTGACACATAACAGACACTCAGTAAGTGTTCTTACAAAGAGTAAAATCACTGTCATCTCCCCAGGCGAGACTGCCGGGCAGTTCCAAGGTCATGACCTATGTGCTGCTGCCCATTGCCCTGGCCTGGGAGGCTTCCTTCCTACCTCTCCGCATTATCTACAGGCCCAGGCTAGTCTCACCTCCCCTTTTGCTATTTGGCTTGAGGGTGTTACCTATACCAGGCCTCAGTTTTCTTATCCATAAAAAAAAAAAAAAAATCATAAGGGGACCCTTCAACTAAGGGTGGGGGTGTGGGGGGGTAATAAACAGTACCTATCACACAAGGAGAATGAATGATGTACATGTTAAAAGTACTTATTACAGTGTCTGGCACATAGCCAGCATTCATTCACTAAATACTGGTTTTGTTGTGATAGTATCACCCTTACCAGTATCTGTGACAGGACTCTGCAAAAGAGTAGGTGATCAGTACAGGTCATCTCCCTTCCCTTCTACCAGGGCAGAGATATGAGCTCACCTCCACCCACAGAGCTCCTTAGGACTGAAATTCATGGCCAGGACAGGGGCTGGCTTCCCTGGGGAACCCTTTCTCCCTCCCATATGGCAAAGCTCCCTGTCAGGTTCTCATCACCCCACTAACCACCCGTCCTCTAGTGTCAGAATTGGAACCGGATATGGAACTGTGGCCTCAGGTCATCCTACCCAATTGCAGCATTTAGAGTCATCTGGGTCCCAGAGTTGTGAAGGAAGTACCTTCTAGCAGAGCCAGCAACAGAAGCCATCTTTCTGAGCGCCTATACAGGGCTCTTTACATTCTGCATACTAGCAACTAGAGTGGAAAGAGCCACATGTACTGGTCTCACAGTAACTGGGCTACTACATTTCCATCCCCAAGGCTCCCGGCAGGCTGGGCCTGTCTCACCTAGCACTGCCAGGTGTTCCCTTGCCCTGGATCTTGGCTCAAAGCCCCAGCCAGGTCACAGAAGGGGAGGAGAGTAGGCCTGTGCTGAGGGTGGCATTTGCAGTGCAGTGGACATTCGGTAGTCAGAAACTAGAGAAAAGCCCCTGCTTTGTCTTAAGGAGTAAAGAGAACACTGTGGACCGAGTTCCTGCTCCGGACCTCACCTTGCTGCAGCTCTGAGTAGCTAATGGAGCCCGAATGGTCTCGGTCATACTGCTGGAAGAGGTTCTTCCACTGCTGGATGAATTTCCACAGGGCTGAGAAACCATAGACATCGATGCGGCCTGACTTGGTCTTGTCAAACATGTCTTGAGGAGAAGGGAAAGGAGGGAAGGAAGGCTTCAGGATTGAGGGCCAAAGGTCCTCAGGTAGCCCTTCTCTCTGGAGGCAGCACTTCTCCCCAGGCTGGATGGAGTAGGAGACTCCCCTGAACCACAGGCCCAAAGCCCAGATGCCTGTACCCAAGACATACCCTCATCAAATGCCACAGCAGCCACCACCCTGGCTACCCCTTCCAGAACTGCATTTTCTCTGCAGCCTTGGCAGGTGACCCCTTCCTGGCATCTCCTACTAGAGCATGGAGTCCCATTCTGCAGAATGGGAAATGGAATTAGCCTGTGGGTCAGCAGGGCCCAGAACTTGAGAAAAGCTCTAAGGGGAAGAGCTCTCAGTCTAGGAGATCTCACTATGAACCCAGTTTCCTGTCTGAAATACCCCCAGGCTGAAAAATTTTCCCTCAGAATGATCATCCACCCACCTATTGTCAGGTGTCAGGTGGCTCTGCCAGAGCCTGAGCCCACGGGGGAAGGGCTTTACTCACTTATCATCATGATGCACGTTTCGTCATTGAACGAGGACCAGTTGGAGTTGACCAGGGCCTGCTTCAGCTCCTTGATGGAGATGTAGCCACTGTGATCGGTGTCCACTGACTGAAACCAGGAGTAAGCCTCAGGATCCACATTGGGAGGGGCACCACCTGCGGGAAGGGGTGCAAACGAGGGGAGTCAAATGAAGGTCTCAAGGCCAATCTGAAGAAATGCTGGGAAGAGCATCTAAGTGCCTCCCTGACTAGGGGTTCTCTCTATCCGTGAAGTCTCACGGATCCACCAACCTTGTCTTCCATCAAGCCAATACCCTCACTCTGATGGAGAGGACCTTCAGTGTACACTCATGAGTATTCGGCTGATTTCTACTCTGTGAATCCATCAGGCTTTCCCTATAGTGCTCCAGTCACTTCTCTATTTGGTTTTAATTTTCTAAGGAACAAGGACTTGTACAGCCGATTAAGAATTTCTGAAAGGTGGAATTATCTCTTCCCCAGACTGGAGACCCAAAAATGTTTGCCAAGCACCTAACATGCAGAGCCCAGAGACAAGTATTTGAGAGTCCCAGCAGCAGGGAGCTCCTGGGTGGGAACCAGGTCTGATTGTCCTGGCACAATGGAGAGTTGACAGTCTATCAGGAGCTGTCAGAAAGTGGGTGGCCACAAAGCCTCACCTCTCTTCCTTCCCTATCACCTCAGATGTGTGACGTGTGCTCCCATCTCCAAAACTCCCTGGAGACATCTCCTCATCCCACACATCCAGAGAGCTGCCCAATTCTGCCAGTTCCGCACACGGGGATCTCCCCTCTGTTCCTCCTGCACCTGCCCAGGTGCAGGTGCCTTTCAACTGCATTGCTGTAACCAACCGAAAAGCCGAACCACACCACCCTTACAGCTCCTCTCCGCCACCCTTCACCCGCTACCGAGCAATCTTTGTAAAATTCAGCCCTGTTCTCACCAATTTCCCCCACCTCAACTCAAAACTCTTCAAAGGCTCCCACTGCCTACAACATAAAGTCCAGCATCCTTAAAATGGCTTTCCAGGGGCCCCCACAATGGGGACGACTCCTGCCTACCTCTCCCACTGTCCCCACTGCCCCCCTCCCACCTCTGGCCCAGCCCAGATGGAGCATTGCGCTTGCTCTTACCCACGCCCGCACCTTCCCACCACAGGGCCTTTACTCACCCTGTTCTCTCTGCCTCGTACCCCTCCTCCCTCATCTCTTTGTATCCATTTCCTTGCACCCTCAAGACCTAAATAAAATGCTACTCCCTCCATAAAGCCTTCCCATTCTTCAGTCCCCGGAAGGGCCGTTGTCCCCTCTCCTTTCTACTCCTTCTCTTTTATGGCCCTGCTCACTCCACTGTGTACATGTTTTTAAACTACCTTCCTGGTTGGACTTGGAGCAGCCTGTGGGGAGGGACCTAACTCATCTCTGAATCCCCAGGGGCTAGCTCAGAGCCAGGCACAGAGAGCGAAGGTGTTAGAGTTGACCTTAGTTCAAGTCTCAGCCCCTCCCCCTGTTTTATAGCCCTGGTTAAGTTATTTAAATTCTCTGCGTATCAGTGTTCTTATCTATAAAATGAGGACACAACAGCACCGACATCATAAATTGAGAGGATATAATTATATGAAAACCCTAAGTCAGCGCCTGCCACCATCTAAGCACTATGTAACTGCTCATTATTAGTGTTGCTGTGTTCAAATAGCAGGAGATGCAGGAAAGGATCATTCACTTGGAAAGACATTCAGCGTGAGCTGGAGTGTAGGGAAAGGCTGACAGATGAAAGTGAACAGAAGACTGTCTTAGGAAAAAGCCGGAGTCACACAGTATTGCTAAACCTTTCGATTTAACTGGCCACAGAAACAACTCCTTTGCACAGGGAGTATCCGAGACAGCCACAGGCCGCTGAGGAGCACAGAAACCACCACCCAGTCCCAAAGGCGAGCCCAGGAGGTTTGCCTGACTGAGGACTAGCTGGCCTCCTTGAATGGGAAACCAGGCAGCCCCACCACCCTTCCTAAAACGGCAGCTTTGCCATGGGGGAGTGAGGGCCACCCCCCCAGATGGACAATCTCTGTAACATGTGGTCCCTGCAGTTTGCATAGAGGAGCTCAGACTCTGGAAGCAAAGAGCTCTGATCCTTACTAGTTTGTGTGACTTTAGACTAATTGTTTCATTTTCTGAGACCGACTTCCCAGGGTGGTTGTGATGATTAAATGAAGTAACAGCAAAAGAAAATTTTAGCAAAGGGCCTGGAACGTGTGCAGTCCCATTTCCACAGAAAAAAGGGATACTTAAACTGGGTCTGAAAGGGTGACAAAGAGCTGCGATGGAGAGAAGAAAAAGCCCATGGCAGAGGCACGGGGTGTGTTCAGAGTACTCGGAGGGGTCCTGGGTTGACGGAAGAGAGGAGCAGTTCAGGTGAGGAGGCTGGAAAGGCCCTTTGGGTCTGGGGTGCCATTAGGATATTTCCTGTGGGCAAGGGGACACCCTTATTGGTCAGACATGTCTTACAGAGCAGTGCTGCTCAAACCTAGATCCTGGAGTCACTGGGGCTGAGATGGGGCTTCAGGTGACCAATGCAGGTGATACATGGATGATGCTTTAAAACACTGCTCCAGGAGGCCACTAGCTGCACAGGAGAGGAGGCAAGGTGGCCAGGTGAGAAGTTGCACAGAGTGAGCAGCTAAGAGCCTGAGGCACATCTTTCCTTTCCTCTGCAGCCCCAGAGATTATCTCTGGCCTCACAGCCAGGGGCTCCTTTCCCTGCACTGACCTCATGTAGGCTCAGAGATAAGATTTTGAAAGGCTGAGGAAATCCACCACGAAGCTGCTGAGCTGAAAGCAAATGGCCAGAAGCTCTGGGCTCTGAGAAGATAAATGCCACAGCTCACAGTGTTTAGAACCCCCACGGTCTGACATCTCCCCCAGAGCCTCCTGCCTGTGTGTGTATGCTAAGATGCTGCAGCTTCCCAGCAGTGCCATTCCCAAGGGCCCTTCAGGTGCACCAGACTGGTTCCAGGCTGCCTTGCTGCTGGCTTGGTCCTCTGGGAACAACATACTGTGAAGAGGCTGACTGAGCTTGGGAGGAAGCAGGGGACTGGGCACTCACCTTCCCTGACCCCGTCTGAGACCACTCAGAAATCTTCACTGAGCCCAAAGCTCTCACCTAAGATTCTCTGCCTCCCCTGCATAGCCAAGCCTCCTCCCCACCCCCATCTTGACCAGTACCGCTCCTTTAGTATCTCTGCTCTTTCTCCCTCCCCTAGCTCATCGCACCATTCTACCTGCCTCGGCATCCTTCAGTGGTAAGGCCCTTCCTTGCCACATCTGCTATCATATTAAATGCTGAACACCTCTTTGCTAAGAATGCCCCAGTACAAGTCCTCTCACAGAATATTGTTTATTAAGGCCTTTCCATGTTCCCATGTTTACCTGCATATTCAGATTTTATCCTTATTAACAATCTGTGAGAGACATTCACCCATTTTACAGATGTCAACACTGAGGCTTAAAGAGGTGAAGTAACTGGGTGAGGTCAGTAGGTGGTCTAATCTCAAAAGCCCAAGCTTTCAACAAGTACACTATCTTGCCTTTCTACATATAGTAGTCAGTCTCCCTTACACAGAAATGGGGCTTCTCCCCATGATAGATAGTATTACTGTCTCCAGTTATTTGCTCATCTATGCCCTGCCCCCACCGCCTCCCCTGTAAGAACACTGCATATCCTCTCCACTGCCCGGGGGCTTCTAGAGCCCCTCCATGAGAGGAGTATCCATTCTCATCCTATTGGGATTAGGCTGGACCAGGGGATGTGGTTTGGCCAAGAGAATGTGAGTGGAAGAGACATTAAGTACTTGAAAGCAGAAACTTTAAGAGGCATCAAGCGTTCCTGCTAGCTGTCCTGCTCTTTTCTGTCTGCTACAAGAACAACGTATCTCAAGTAGCGGCTGTTCCTTCAGCCTGGATCCTGGAAAGAAAAGACATGTGGAGCAGAACCTCAGCAGCCAAACCCACAGCTGCCGACACATAAGCAAGAGTACATAGCGTGAGCAAGCAACAGAAATAAATGTTTGCTGTTGTAAGCCAAAGAGACTTTGAAGTTACTGTTACCACAGCGAAGCTAACAGACTTCCGCTGATGCAAGCTGAAGCAAGAAGCAAATGCTAAGGTGTCAGAGACCAGGCTGCTTGCACAATCACAAGAAGGGTAAGGATGGGCCCTGGATAACTCAGAACAATAACTCAGGTCAGAGGCACCTGGAGCCCCAAATCCCTACTTACCTGGAGGAGGTCCCTGTCCATAAGGCCCGGGATGCTGGGCACCATAGGAATTGGGAGGTGGCTGACCATAGGGGCCCCCTGGGGCCGCACCACCATATGGTCCTCCTGGAGCCCCAGAGGGGAGTCCCCCAGGGCTGGGGTGTCCATAAGGCCCTCCAGGGGCAGGACCTCCTCCATAACCGCCACCAGGGGGTACCCCGCTGCCATACTGCCCTCCACCAGGATAGTAGCTACCCGGAGGGGCTCCGGGTGCTTGTCCTCCAGCTCCTGGGCAGCCCTGCAAGAAAAGCAAGACATGAGTCAGAGTGATAGGACCAGAAACTAGTCATAGTATGGCACGTGACAGTTAGAAACCACTGCCACTGTCATGCTTTCCACTGATCCTATAGGCAAGGCTGGAATTATGACCCCATTACTCAGATGGGGACCCTGAGGCTTCTACAGATACAACCTACCCGAAGTCACACCTACTCAATGACCTACAATCAAGGCTGGAATCCTACCCTCCTGGCTCTCCTTCCCTGCACACCACAAGGGCTGGAATCATGTCTTGTTTGTCACTTTACCTCCAGCCCCCAGTGCAGAATGGATGCTCAGTAAATTTTTATTATATAAAAGAGTAGGCAAATGAATCAAATAGAATTCCAAATCCTCACCCTGTGGTACCCCCATCTCTATCTGCAGAATTCACAGTACAGCAGTGACCCTCTTCAGTCATAAATAATGTATCCTTCGCAAGGAGTCATCCTTAGCATGCCTTCCTTACCCTACTCTAGCTCATGATGCAAAAACATTTTCCCATCCTCACTCACGGATGGGTGAGACAGGCAGGCAAGGCCTATTCCTAAGGCAACATAGTACAATGGTTGAAAGTCAAAAAAGATCAGTTTGAGTTCAGGTTCTGCCACTTACTAACTGGTCTAACTACCTACCCTCTCTAAGCCTCAATATCCTACGCTCTAAAATGGGAATAATAATAGTTCCTGTCCACCTCCCAGGTTGGTATGTGAATGAAATGAGACTAGTCACATGGAGCACTTTGACACAGATCTTAGCACAGAGTAAACACTCAATACACATTAACTATTAATAATAGCACCTTTCTATGGAGCAGGAAACTGAAGTCCAGAAAAATCACACACACACACACGGTATGGAGGGGCTGGGGTCAGAATCCACGTCTCCTGGCTAAGCCCAGGCCGTTCGTACATTAGAGCATAGAGGGGAGCATTCCCTCTCTTGACCATGTCCCCACGCCTCCAGCCAAGGATCCCTGAGACTCAGTGTTCAGCTCCAACTCCCTAAATGGCCAGCAAAAAGCCTAGCAGAGCACAGCCCCAACACATTTGCAGACAGGCTGAGCTCAAGGGCACAGAGAGCAGCTGGGCCCAGCTCTGAGGACTGTGAGGATGGTAACTCCTAGGCATGTTCTAGGTCAACCTGCAAGGCACACCAATGGCCTAGCCACTGAGAGCCTGGACTTGCTCTTTTAATTGTTTGGCGGTTTCTGGGATAGTTATCCTCAAGGCTAAGGACAAATTCACGCTTTATCTAACGAGGCTCCGCTTGCGCAAGGAAGGGAGGCTTCTTGAGGGAGGACAGGAATCAGGCCCTTCCACCTTCCTCACTCAGCATCGTGGGAGGCTTCCTCCCTGGAAGCCTCCACAGCTAGTAGCGAGAGTCCTTCACAGACAACAAAGTCACAGGGAAATCTCAATTGGAAATTCTGCTCTCACCATGAGTTCATGACCATGGGCCAGTGCCTTAATTGCTCTGAGCCTGTTTCCTCACAAGTAAAATGTGACAATCCCTTCCTCAATGAATTGTTCTGCAGATTATAAGAAATAAATTGCAACATTCTGTTGGTTTAATTTTGAGCTGAAGAATCTTCTGATAAAATAAAATTTTAAAAACTGATAAAAAAGTTGCTTTAGCTGAAGCAAGGTGGGGGTTCCAGAGCCCCATGAGGACCCCCCTCCCTTGCTAGATTGTAAGGGAGCCCTGCAGAACCCACACTGACTCAAAACAGTCTGAAAACCATTAACATAAGAAAACAAAGTTCTTACAAGACTTTCTGGCATAAAGGAAACGGTCAATAAATCATAGCAGCACTGTTATTATTACATTATTATCATCATCATCAGAAAAGCCCTGGGCCAGGTAAATACAGGCAGGGGGACATAAAGGAGAGTGAAAAGTTCTGAAGGAGCTCACAGTTAATAGGAGAGGTACGGAAACACTTTCTGTAACACCTCACAAAACAGCATAGGGAAACAGGTGTCTAAAATGGATGCATAAGTCATGTGCCATGGATCACAAAGGAGACAGGGTGAAATCATAGAGGGTTTCCCTAAGAAAGAAGCGCTGAGCTGAAACTTAAAGAATGAAAAAGGTTCCCAAGGGAGTTGGAGAGGCATGATGGGAGAGGTGCCCAGGAGGCCGGTCACCCAACTTAACCCCTTCAGCTTACAGATGGGGAAATTAAGGCCAAGAGAGGAGAAGGGAACTGTTCAAGTCACACGATGAGTTGGAGACAGAGGCGGAACTAGATCACTCCCCACCCACACCAAAGTCCGAAGACACACTGCCCCCTGCTACATACAGCATTCTTTCCTTAAGCAATAGGGAACAGGATTCCAGTGTAGGATAGAAAAGGGGTGGGGATTCTGCAGAGTCTGGGCACACCCAAAGAACAGGCTGGACACCAAGCCAGAAGTAACTGCTCCACAATAAGCCCTATGAACAAAGCCATAAATTGCATCTGGCCTAGGGCACCCTGGGAAATGCCCCAGACCAACAAAGCCGGTGCTGCAGACAGGTCTTCTGACCTTCCCTACCACATTCTAGCCACCTGCCCTTTCCTTTCCGCTCTGCATCAAAGCCCTCATGTGTACAGTTCACCAAGCACTTTCACATACATACAAATTCTACTGGCAGAATCCTGTCAACAATCCTCTGACACAAAAAAGGAAGAAAACAGTAGGCCCATTTTCAGATGAAGAAACTGAGGTATACAACTGTTAAAAGACTTCATTCAGAAAGCAACAATATAATGCTAGGCTCTGTGCTAGGCCTGGGGGCACAAAACTAAATAGGGTCTGTCCCTGAGGAAGCCAAAGATAATTACGATAGTCTGATCAGTTCCACCAGAAAAATCTACTTAACTGCTATCAAGGAGGCATAGGCAGAGGAATTCGTTCTGTCTGTCGAATGATAAATCAGCAATAATATGAACAAATGCATGAAGTGGGTGAAGGAAGACTTCCTGGAGGAGGCAGGAATAATACTGAAGCTGGCAGTGAAGGCTGCATAGGCCTTCTCCAAAAGGAAGGCAGAGACGGACATTCCAGACAGAAGGGAGAAGAGAGACAAAGGCAAGGCACAGACCTATGAGCAAGCATGGAGTGGTCAAGGAGGAGGCTAAAAAGCAGGGGTCAGGGGCAAGAACTCAGAAAGGCAGGCTCTTTACACACTCCTTGTCTAAGCACCTCTCCTGCTGCACTCCGGTTAGCTGGTGAGTTACTGGCAGCTTAGAGTAGGTTGTGTCTATGGTCTCCTCCACACAACAGTGAGGTCCCCCAGGGCAGACAGTGGGCCTCATTCACCACGGTACCCCACGGTCCAGCACAGTGCCTGGCACCTGCAAGCCTTCATAAATATCTGAACAAATGAATACCACTCTAAAGAGTTTGAGCTTTATGCTGGAGGAAACAGAGCACCACAGAAGGGTTTCCAGTAGGGGAGGACCATGAGCAGAGCCTTGTTGAGAGAATTAACCAGCAGCGCTGTGGAGGATGAACTAGCGGGGGAGGCAGCAGGCTGAGCGCCGGCTGCCGGCCGGCAGGGCTTGAACCAGACAGCAGACGTGGAGATGCAGAGAACAGGATGAGTGCTGAGGCTGTTTCAGAGATAGACTAGACATGACTTGGCAACTAATTAGGTTAGGGAAGAGCCGGAGGGAGGAGGGAGGAAAGGGAAATGCTTGGAATGACGCAGATTTCTAGATGCACAAGAATATGAAGGAAGTGGAGCCACCGTCTGAAGCAAAAACCAGGCTGGGAAAGACGGTTTCCAGGGTCACTGAGTTGTTAGTAAAGGTCTGAATCAGAAATGAAAACCAGAGTCCCTGACTCCAGGTTCTTTCACACTATTCCATGCTGCCAACCTTTCTGAGAGTTTTTCTAAGAGCATTCCATGCGGATAAACAAAAGATGGTGAAAAGGGGGAAAAAAAAAGACAGGAAGAGTTCAGTAACCATGGTTTCCAAAGCATCACAGAAATGTTGGGGTGGGGGAAGGGCAATTAACATTTTGAGGCTCTGCTAAATGCTTCCAGTTCAATTGGCTCTCAGTGATCCTCAGTTCTGTAAGGCATGTGCTATCATCTCCATTTTACAGATGAGAAAATTAAGGTGCAGAGAGTCTAACACTGCCTGTGACGATGCAGCTAAAACATGTGAGTTGGGATTCAAATCAGGGTCTGCGTGACTCCACTCCACTACCCGCTTCTGTGTGTTCACTCAATAAATGAGTGGGTGCCGGTGCCAGGCATTGTCCTAAATGTATGTCAAATATGATGGATTTCTACAGAA